ACAACTATATAATTTCCCGTACGAAGAGCATTATTGTGTCCATATTGCGATTACACCTCTCTATCATGTTGTCGTCGTATTCGCCAGATATATTTTTGTATACAGCCCAAAATTTAAAAGCTAAGTTCTCTTCTCTGTCTTCAGCAGCAATGCTGGAAGTCTCGAGTATCTTGATAATCTCCCGGAGAAGGTGTTCAATTATAATACAATCACACGAAAATGAGGACTTGCGCAAATTTGCTGCTTGCATCGTCAGCATCGGAATCCATGTAGAACTTCGAGCTTGGTAGTATCAGTAGTAAGATGGGGGTGAGTGGGTTGTAAGAGAACTGAGAGGACGCTACAGCGCTAGAAGTATTTGAGCATTGATAACATTAATATCGTGACAACGTTGTAGGGCCATCAGGAAAACCCTCCCTAACCACGCGAGCTAACTTAAGGGCCTCACCTTACTTACATAGTTGGCTCCTAAAAAAGGTACGTACAGCACTGTAACATAAGAACGTAATGACAAGACCTTCGAGCGAAAACCTCGTCATCACCGGGTAGTAGGAACAGCGTGGTAAAAATCACTTGATCACCAACAACTTTCTGGCGCTCGACAACTAACGAGAACAGCGATGCATCGATGTCAGATGAGGCTAGCTAGGTGCCACCTAAACCTCAATCAACTTAACATTTACTAACCTACAACTCGGGTTGTTCATTCCGGAACACCCGCCATCCCCCACCGCACCAATGTCCACTCGTCCGTCACTTTCCCTGCCCTTGTCTTTCTCCAGTAATTGAAGGCGTACTTTTAGCACCCTTGCCCCCGTTGGTCACTGCATCATTCTCTGCCAAAGCTCACCTTTCCTCTGCCTTGCTCATCAACGCCTGACACGCCGTCACGGAGTTATTCAACATCGATATTTCCGGCCTCAACCTCATGTCTCCCAGGCCTGCAGGTATGGAGGATTGTACTGCTCGTATCTTATCGGCATCATCATCGCCAGGTATTCCAAAACAGTCTCAACATGTCCTCACTCCCCCGCCGCATGCTTTCCTTCCTCTAACTTCAGCTTTGTCAGTTTGATCTTTTCCTCGTCAAGTCTTCGACATATTAACTTCTCGCATTTATAGTGTATTAGCTCACCTTGAGCGGCCTTTATTAACACTTTGTAACAAATGCAGATCTAATAATATATATACAAGATTCAACTCTCTGAGCAAGTGAGGATGTGGGCCCGTAACGCGCTCGTTGCAAATATCCCTTAATAGCTTCTTTAGCAACCCTAGTACTGGATGATTAGACTGGTGACCAGCCCATCTATGAGGCAAGCCGTCGAAGGCTGGTCACCAGTTTACTGGATGATACCGAACTAATAAATTCGCGCTGCCGGCCCTATACCAACCTGCAAGCTTTATACCCGAAGGTATATGGCGTGCAGGCTCACTGCATTGTCAACCGTGACAGCGTGAACTTGACACTTCTAGGTGGTATGATCATGAGGGGACGAGCTTTTGACGACCGAGTAGTGCAGAGCACTGATATTCACGCGTCACTGGGCATTGGCCCTCGTGATCGTGATTCCACTCATACCTGCCGTGCATCAAGAAGTATCACTTGTCAAGGTATGCATTTTTACTCAGGCCTTTCGATTTTTAACAGCGATTTAGCCTATAGTATCGCAGCGCCGCCATGTCACTCAAATTCAGTGGCACAACTTGCAGGTAACGGACGCCAGCACTGCCAACATTACGCTACGTATTGTGACGTACTGCCGCAACTAGCGCCCCAAATAACACATAACCATACCATTCACGCCATTGCCGTCCTGCACAGTTGTTAATGTCCTTCAACCAAATATTAGAAAAGCGCCTGAGCCGTGTCCATGGTCGCGGCATACTATACACGGTTAAGGATTATAACTGCAACATTAGACTGAAGCGAACATATCGAGTGGAGTTGGGGTCTTTTCGCTGTGTTCGGACTTTGTCGGTGCAGGGTTTGAAGTATGTAACTCGAAAGAACCAGGACTGATAACAGGGTATACCGGTGCCCGGACTTCTTCGCTCAGGGTTTGACTTCGGAACCTAGAAAGATCCAAATGATAACGGGTTACCAGACACCAATGAACTGAAAGATATAATTAATACAGCGCTAGAATTATTTGCGTATTCTGTAGTTAAGCCCGCTGTTACCCACAATACCCACAGCGAGCATGAAGGTTTCGGCAACGCGCATCGTCGACTCGGACTGCGACACATTGCAATTGTTGTTTAGGCGTGCTCTGGAATACACAACAATGGACTTTGAAAAATGTATGCGGCATGACGAACCATCACGAACGACCATAGTCATATCCTCATACGTGTGATCGACTGCTACTTCAACAGAGGCATGAGGGCAAGGCATTCTGCTCGCTGCTCATCTGGCGTTACTCCAGTGTCGAAAACGAGGCTCTCCAGGGGACAATTTGATCGTACCAACAACTTGAATGCCTTCGACTCCTCGTGAGGCAACGCTCGTACACCATGAACTACTGCAAGCGCACGTAAATTTGTGAGTGACAGTGCGTTGAACAGATCAGACAGCGTGCCCGCATACACAGAGGTCATGCGCAAGGATTCAAGTTCAGCATGCTTGAACGACTGTAAAGCCCGTTCGAGTACCCCAGAACCTAGGCTAAACGTGAACGAGGAGAGGTTGGGAGCTGGAGCAAGTGGAGCAATGCATTTGGATGATGGACAGCGATCTCGATGTTTGTTAGTTGCGCAAACATAGGGCCGAGAGATGATAGTCGCTTAAGGGTGAGGTCTAGCCCCACTAGCTTGAAGCTGCGCAGAGTAGGTGGCGGGCGGAATGCTGATAATGACACAGCTGGCATATCGTTATTGTGTGACCCTGATGGTTAGCTCCTGGAGGGCTGGAATGTCTTTCAATGTATGTTCAGGATTTGTTCCATGGTAGACCTTGACATAGAGAGCCGGTATTTGACCAATGGAAGGCTGAATAATGCTTCGTAGTTTGATTTCGTCACCCTCATTGTACACGAGTGCTAAAGAGTGGAGGAAATCCTCGGGATCGCTTGAATCACAAGTTATAACAGAAGGCTGCCTGCTCCTAGTCTCCGCGATCGCTCAGATGCGGTCTACACCACAAATTGGGTCATGTCCATGACAACATCCCTTCACCGTTGGCATATTCTGGCCAACTGCATGTGGAGCATCTTGGTTTGGGTCGGACGACGAGTAAGCGCGTTCCCAGAGGGAGGATTCTGGGAGATAGTATTCCGGGAGACAGTAGTGAAAATTTTGGGCCAAAACTTCGTTTGGAAAACGCCAAGGAACCAATCCCTTGTGCAAATTCAAGGACTGGGTAATTGTCTCCTTGTCGACGAGCTGGTGGTGAAGATCTTAAGCACTGTCCATGATAATTTCCAGGCCTGAGATCGCGTGCAACACCGCATCCAACTGCTGCTGGCGTTCGGCGACGATGGTAGTCGATATTGGAAAATCTCGAGTATGGGGTTTCAAGGTCTGGCGCCGGAGCCTAGACATCGTCAATTGATATAGAGTTGTGGCTTGCTAAAATAGATATACAAACACCTGTGAACGCGTGAGTTGAAGCAACGATTATTATTCTCAGACACGCGAAGTGCTTATGAAACTGAGTACTTATTGCAGCGTACCGATGAGACCCGAGTCAAACGAATATTAGTCATCCCAGTTAGCTGTTGTTCTCTCGATATTCATTCATTCATTGGTTGTTTGAAACGTTCGAGGAAGAGAAACTGAGCTCAAGACCGAGTTCCTTGCAGTCAGGCGCGTAATGACCGGCCCTAAACCCCAATAATGTGGAACCGTGTTGTTCAAGTGGTGGCGCTGAGTAAGTCTCAGCCGTTCACAACCTATCGAGACGCTCTGTCGGACATCCTGTAGTCTGCCAATAACATATCATGTCTCATTCCTTTGGGCCAGCCGATTTTCTGGACGCAGAACCCGACGAACTGGATGTTATCGCCAGTTCCAGGTCAAGTACAACTCTAATTGGTGACGGGTCTCCCTCAGTCGAAGAGGAGAAACTTACCATCAGGCTACGTGTCTCTCCTTCCCGGAATGATTTACAAAGCGGAGAAAATATTCAAATGACGGGAAAGCGCGTCAGAACGTCATCATTTTCTGCCATAGACAATGGAGCGAACTCTCAGAAAAAGCAGAAGATGCAAGATAAGAAAGGCAGTAAGGTTTTATAGCTGTCGTTTCTGAGCTGATGCTGAATGACATGATAATCGATCTTCTAGAATACCATAGTCATAAATGCAAGAAGGGTACAACTCGAATCCTGCCCGTAGAAGGTGGCTGTACCGCCATCATGACTTGTTTCAACCGCTATTGCCCTCGACTTCATTCTTCGACACATTGCGCAAGGAAATGAAAGAAACGGGAGGAAGCACGGCTTATGTCCCACTCCGCGTCGTGAATCAGCCTTCGTTAGTAGAGAACGGTGAAATGAAGGATTATCAAGTACGTATAATGCAACTTAGCCGCACAGCACTTGCCTGAATACTTCTTGGCTGCAGCTTCAAGGTCTTGCATTCCTTATCTACATGTATAAGAACTGGTATGTTTTTTTTGTTCCATGATGTATCCTAGGGACTAAGACCGCAGTGTAGGGATGAACTTGTATATTGGGTGACTGGTAAGTCTTTCATTCTTCCGTTTTATTTTATCCGTCGTGACGATTTGGCTAGAAATGGGCCTTGGAAAAACACTACAGGTATTTCTTCCCTTTGTGTCCGTATTCTTTATCTGACATGGTGCCAGACATTATCCCTCTTTGCACATATTCAAGAAAACGAACCGGGTATGCCACCTACGGTCATTCTGTTTTGCTAAGTGCTAACAATCTGTGGAGGCCGTCACGATCCCCATCTTAATCATCTGCCCTCTTTCTGTTTTGTCCTCCTGGCAAAACGTAAGATTTGTAGCTCTATCTTCAACTATTTCTGACGTCGATTCATCTATTTAGGAAGCTGCCCGATGGGTACCCTCATTGCGCGTATTTCGCTTCCACGGCAGTCAGTCAGAGAGAGATCGACTCAAGAACAGTGTCAGGAACGACGAAATGAAATTCGATTTATGCATCACGACTTATGAGGCGTATGTTTGTGAGGACAGTTGGTTCAAGAGCCGACGATGGTTCTATTGTGTTCTTGACGAGGGGCACAGGATCAAGAACTCTGATACCAACCTCTTCGGCAAAGTCCGTGGCTTAGGTTCCCTGTATCGACTCAGTAAGGTATTTTCTTTTGCATTATATTTTGTCATCTCACTGTCGTGTCGTGCTAGTCCTTACTGGCACCCCTGTACAAAACAACCTGGTCGAGCTATGGGGCCTCTTGAATTGGCTATACCCAACCATATTCACTCCTTCTTCACAGCGATTATTTCAAGGAATCCTTTGATCTCTCTCGTGGATCGTACTCAATACCATTCCTAAAGGCTGCGCAGGAGTTCTTGCTCGTCATTATGATGCGCCGCACCAATGCGAACGTCGATATAGCCGTACCGCCACGCGAAGAACTTACTTTATTCATACCCATGACGGAGGCACAGAGGTTCTGGACTTATAGATTGTTAACACGAATGGATACAATGGACCTAGAAGAGATATTTACAGAGGAGGATGGCCTGTTGAATGAGGGACGCAAGGAAGTGTTTTCTCACATCGCGTCAGCGATCAATCGGAATGTCTCTGGAGAGACAAACAGTGAGTGACCTTGAATTGTACTCGCCCATCGTTATCACGTGCTCATAACACCAAGGATGGCGAAAGCTCATGAATCTGTTGATGCAGCTGCGTAAAGTCTGTGACCAGTAGGTCGTATTTTTGTCTCTTTGTGGATACTGCTCAGATCAGACGACAGTCCATATATGCTAAAAGACGCGTCCCCTTCGCCGTATATTAGTTGGCGAACACGTTGTTGCCTCGTCCGCAAAACTTATTGTCATCGACAAGGTTCTTGCTGATACCCTGCCTAAAGGAGAACGTGTCTTGATATTTTCTGTGAGTTCTTCGAAACAAAAATACCTGCGCCAGCCCGAGACTAACGAGTGGTCGTAGCAATGGACAAGGTAAAGGGCAATTACACTTCTCGCCGATTATGCTTTGATGCAAGGGTATTAGCATGCTCGATCTCCTGGAGGATTACATGGAACTGCGGTCAATACCATACGCTCGGCTGGATGGTGGAACGACCCGGCCTCGGCGGAATCTTGATATCAAACTGGTGGGGATGATTTTCTTGCCTTGCCAGCTGCTCGCTGATGCCTGCTGTCTGTAGTTTCAACAAGAGAAATCTCGTAGGGTCTTAGTTTGAATCATTATATTTCTTGTGCTGAAAAACGTTTAGCATATCAAGTCTTCCTTGTTTCAACCAAAGCGGGTGGACTTGGTACGTGAAGTATTGCTCGTAAAGGTCTGATTTTTACACTTTGGTAGGTATAAACCTTACAAAGGCATCAACCGTCATCATGTGCGACTGTGATTGGAATCCTCAGGTGAGCGTTCTGGGGCAGATCTACTTGATATCCGTCGAAACATTCACAGAACGATTTGCAAGCCATTGCTCGGGCCCATCGCATTGGTCAGACGAAAACCGTCAAGGTGTGTCCGATGCTATGTCACAACTCACCCTACAAACCTTGTTCCTGTAGGTGTACCGCCTTATTTGTCGTGGAAGCGTCGAGGATCAGATGCTCGACCGCATTCGTCGCAAGATGTTCCTATCATTAAAAGTCATGTCTTCTTCAACGTCGTCATCTTCTGCCAACGAGGATAATACCCAACTGAAGACTACAGAGCTCCTGGACATTTGCGCAAGGGTAGTAGCGCCTTGTCTCGGTCGGATGTAGGCATGGACTTGGGGACATTCCTCAAAGCGCCAATCCAAGAAATTCTCGACGACTCACGAGAGCGGGAAGGAGTAAGGGATGTGAAGCTGAAGAAAGAGATGGTATCTTCGCATGATACTGCTGAAGACATCGACATCGATGAGAAAACGCTGCTCGATGCAGAGGAAGAGGAGCGAAAGCTTCTTAGTGGCATCGCTCAAGTACAGAGCAGACTCTTCGAGGGCAAGCTCATTAAACGCAATCAAAACAATCATCAGATTGCGCAGGAGTGGCAGGAACTGCAGAAACGGGCACGCATAGACAGGACAGTTGTGGTAGATGGTATCACAGTCATCGCCGATCATATGGGCCAGAGCGCGGTTCGTGTGGTGTTCTCTGCAGAAAGTAAGATGTGCTGACTTTTACCTTGATCAGCCAGAGGAAATAAGTTCGGCCTCAAAAAAGAAGTCGAAAGCGAAGCACGAAACAGAGGATTGGTGCGTATATTGTCGAGATGGCGGCGACGTGGTCCTCTGTAACACGTGTCCCCGAGGTGAGACTGAACGGGCGTGTGGTTTGGCTTGCTCTTGACACCAAATCACCAGTATTTCACCCCAAGTGTCATGGTATCACCGCAGCGCAACTCCGCAAGCTACCTATGATTCATTGTCCCCAACACAAGTGCTCAGCTTGCGATCGCTCCACTGCTGAAGCAGGAGGAATGTTATTCAGGTGCGTAAATATCCTCAACAACGACTCAATCTAAGATTGTGTAGGTGCCAAACATGCCCACAAGCATTCTGCGAAGACTGTATGCCTGAAGGGGAGATCGATGCTGTCGGGCAAGTGTTGCCTGAGTTGTAAGTGCATGATGTTCCACTGATAGGTTTTGCCTGACGTATCTCTGATTCTGCAGTGCGTTGTTGGGGTATGGTGCTACGAGTACAGCCTACTACATACGATGTCATGAGTGTCATGAACATTGGGAAAAGGAGCCGCAGGCCTGGAAAGCCTGGGAGGAAGAAATGGCTGAAACACAGGCGAAACTACAATCCTTGCAGACCACATAGACTCGTATAGGAGTGTGTTTACGTGCGTTTGATTTGGCCTGCAGCCTACACTTTGTTAACTCACCACTCGTCTTCATTGTATGTATTTTATTACTGAGCAATGTGGTCTTTAGTAGTCGAGCAGTGGAGTAATGTTATGGTCTCGGCGGACGTTGGAGAGCCGCCCCACAATGTTTAAGTTTAGGCTTAGTGATCGTCATTGGTCCCCAGTGTGACGTCACTTTTGGCGTGGCAGTATAAAACCTCGTCCCTGCTCTGACGCCTCCGTCAACATCAAGAATGACGAGCGACTTACCACCGAAAATCACTCCTGTACCAGCTGGCACGCCCCCTACCGTGTGGGCGAGCAAAACTGAATCCATACTCCAGTCCGACATTGTTACCCCTGATCCCGCCATGAGGGCGACGCCCAAGCCTGAACAACACCCCGTCACAATCACAAAGAACTTGAGCACCCCAGGTCACGAATTTCCGGGCTCCTATCCCAGGGAACATGAACAAGAGCTGCAACAACAATCCTGCGGCGATGGATTTGAGGGCCCTGCGGCTGCCACCTCAGTTGCTCAAACAGCAAGGCAGTACATATCGGAACCTGTGGAGCGCACCGTCGAGTATGCTGGTCAGACAGCAGCTGCATACTTTCCTATCCCTCAGGGCGTCAAAAATACGGTGGCTTCCTATTGGTGTGCGTGTGCCCCCCTATCTTGTGCTTGAGCTGCCCTGACGGACTTTTACCAGCCAATGACGAGCATTCTCACCCCAAGTCCGAGTTTGACCAACAGCTGTCTACTTCTCTTCCGAGTTCAGAGTTAAAGGGCGCCCAACCTCACGAACATGTTGGCGGTGTCGGTTCCTTGCCAGGAACTATCTCAGAATCAAGCGTCGCCTTACTACCCGATGAGCGGGCAGAGAGAGATACTCAAAGACCGATAAGCTTGAAAAAGGACGATTCTCAAACACGAGGTGATAATCAAACGAAGAGCGCCAATCTTTCCGGTGCTACAGCGGTTGCTGCGAAGCCAGAAGTAAGTCAGGTCTGTCTCCACCTTGACATCTTCCCTTCTTTTTCGATGTTTATTTTGAGCGAGTTGATGCAAGCCATGATGCACTGCATTTTCGGCGCTGACTCGGAGATTGTGGTGCCCGCGGACGAGGGGCTAGTTTGTTTCGCTTCTCTTCATCTTCTTCGTTCTCTTCGTTCTCGCCTGCCTTTGGCAGCTGGCATCTTCCCAATTCTGTCTTATTTGCGGGAGCATGCTGCATTGTCATGGGCTTATTACCAGACACTGACAGGTTCGATCATGATCGTACCAAGTCATTTTCTCTGTTATTCTGTCGTGACATTCAGTCATGACAGCTAATGTATTTGCAATTACCCCGGCTACTTTTTGGACTGTCCCTTCAAATGTTGAGAAGTCGAGATGCCAATATCCCGGGGCATTTGAACTTGATGCGGGGACGGTTGGCTATGCCATGCTTATCTATCTTCTACTTTGAGGTTTTTTTGATAGTGCCATACTTCTTTGTTGTTAACCTCGTTGGACGCTTCCTCGTCTGTCTGTTATATGTTATTCCCTCGTTGCGTCTAGAATCTGACGGTTGTCGTCATTGTAGCCTTCTAATCTTTCGAAGGATCTGTCCTCTCAGGCTCAGTCCAGCCATTACGGGACGCAAATAGACCCTCAACAACTGGACGAATCGCCTACTCAGCAAACAGATCAATATCCCGCAAAGCTTTCTGATCCAAAGCCCGTGTCCGTTGATCACACTCCGAAAAACGAAGTACCGGAAGGGCAACGTTCAGACGATGCCGAGACAGCTGGTGTTGGCGGAGCCGCCATAGGAGCGGCTCAGATACGTGATCGGCCTCTAGGCAAGATAACGGAGAGTAAGGCGGCCAAAACTGCTGAGGCGGGAGGTGCAGTAGGCGCCGGTGATCCAGCAAAGGAGGGTATGTACATGTTGTTTGACGCTTGTTCTACAAGCTAATTACGTTCCAACTTAGCGGGCGTCGAGGATAATGCTCGCGATAACAAGGAAGCTCCTGCGCACAGTCAGGGAGCCAAAGTGCTACAGCAGCCTTGGGATGAAGAGTCAACAAAGAATAAAAGCGTTGAGAATATGACGGGCGATGTAGGCAAGGTAACTGATGACAGGGGTAACGATGAGGATACCAAACACACCCAGAAAGCTGGAGCACGCACAGGAGGTTCCGATACCGATTACCACCCAGCGAAATTGCATCCGCCGCGCGTTGGCGAGAGCACGAGCCAGGCGAAAGCTCAGCCTGACTCTCCCGTGACATCAGCATCTGCACCTCCAGCGAGCGCTGCAGACAGCTCTAAGGAACGTCGGGTGAGTTTTCTGGATAAACTCCGAGGTGAGGCAAAGATAATTGCTGGGAAGATGACCGGCAAGGAGGATAAAGTGGAACAGGGTAAACGGATGGTACATGGCGAAGTGTAAGCTACCACAGAGCCGCGATTGTTTTCCGACCTGATTCAGCTGTATCTCATACACATCAAGTGTTGTAATATCTAGCAGGCCTACTGAGATTCCTTGACTTCTGCCTTGGTCAGATACCGTCGAACTCAGCGGAACATGATATCATTCTCTGCTAGTCAATTAATCACGAGCCTTGTCTCCAAGCTTCCAAAGACAATAGGTATAACGAGCTCTAACCTGATTGGCTGTGGCCAATTAGTTTAGGCATGTGCCACAACGATACTGCGGCGAGAAACTATAAGTGATTGAAACTGTGCCTGACCATATATATGTTTGTAGCAGGAGGCCAAATGAGCATTCCCTCTTCTATGCAGACTCGGGTACCTGAAAGAACAAATGAAAAACAGCCCGTGGGAGGAACTCCGAGGCTGTGACCAGGCAGTTGTCGAATGAAAACGGTACAGATGACCTCTTCATAGCATTAACTGTCACAGGCATTTCAAAACACCCGCATGAAAGCCATAGAAAGATACACGGAGATATAACGATGAGAAAATTGTTACTTACCGAAAACCTGCTAGAGCTCTTCATGATGAGCATAGAGATATGACTCAACAGGGACCCGATCCTGGTCGTAATTCACACATTGACGAGCAAACACGGGACAGCCCGCCACAATTGTTTAGGACAATCAGCAAAAATATTTTAGAGAAGTGAAGGAAGTGCAATGAAAGACTCGGAAGTGACAAGTGGAAATTACTCTTGAAGGATAGAGTTGTTGGAAGAAACCTTCCGAGTAGAATCAATGTCCCGCAATTTCAACTTCAATTTAATGCCTGGATATCGATATTACATAATCCATCATGATGTGGATGCAATAGGATGCAATCCGCAGTGATGTCACATCAAGACGAGGAAAATAGACGAGAGCTGATAGCGCTTGTCACTTATTCGTTTATCATGGCCCGTTCTGGCTGCGCTCGCCAGATATTACTCATTCAGAGTATACCAAACTAAAGTATCTCACCTAGGGATCAGTCCGGGTCTATACTAGTTTATATCATGTTCCATCAAGTTCCCATGAACTACTAGTATTACATCGGCTACTGGTGACCGTCGTTACTCGAGCCCAGACCTCCGTCAGACGACTTATCTCCAACGTGGCAGCGCAACGCAGTGGTAGTTGAGTACTTAGTGACTATAGCACTAAGAGTCTCATCATGAATGGAGTGCGAGGCCAAATTGAAAGATTGAATAGATCCGACGAATACGCCCGGCGTGTGCACCCGCAATCCCAGGTGGAAATGAATCACTTCAAATTCCAAGAAGCGCACTATCCTCACGGCCGCCACATGCTTGAAGTCACAAATAACTAGTACATATTTAGACCGAGCGCAAAAGTGGAGACTCAATAGAACACTAGATAGAACAGGAAGCCCACAGTGCTGGAGATGGCCGAGTAGTATGTTAAACATCTAAGCGAGTGTGGAGGTCAGCGCTATTACTATTAGCTCTAATGCTCTTCATTACCTCTGTTCTGGTTTTTAGGACTTATCCAAGAACCGACCGCCGCTTGATATATTCTCTACGATGCCTTTAATTGTCACGCAGACCGGGGAGGTTGGCACGGTCTGGAAGGGTATAGATACAAATGAAAAGATAAGTGAGAAAAATACTGCGGTTACCAAGGGACATAAAATGAATGCAGGAAGTCTCTACCGTTGGAGGCAAAAAAAAGAGGCTAACGCCGGGACGGGGGAAGGACTATAACACGACTTTAAAGCTATTGAGTACTCGTCTGTCTTCTGCGGATAAGGGGCTGTAAGTCGTTGGAGAGGGATGTCCAAGTTGCACAGATGGTGAGGAATGAGGTTGTCGAGATTCTGGAGTGTCCTGTAGACCGGTCAGGATCGAAATGCTAGGTAGGGACGTCTCTGCACGTCCAGGTCCCATTGCGGCGCCCGATGACGGTAGAGGTCTTGAATGATGCTGGGTAGGGGATAAAAGGTATTGATGATGAAGAGGAAGCGGGAGACATTGGGCCTCGGGGGACCCCTTGCAGCATAGAATACTGACTTGGGTGGCCATGTCCATGACTTGCCGAATTGTATGGCTCTATTCCATCAGTAGTATAAGAGAAGCGATCGGTGCGAGATCCGTTGGCTTTGCTGGAGACAAAGATGCCACCGGGAACCCTCAAATTTCGAAGGTAATCGTAACTCTCGATGACAGGAAGTCGAACATAGTCATCCCCCTGTTGCGGTAATGAACAAGAGATCTTCTTTCATTGTGGAGACTAAGCTCACTGTAAAGTATGCAACGACATGCCATTTACGCGGGAGACTTGAGCCCGGAAGATAGACTAATGCGGAGTAAGTTTGTTTCGTCAAACCATTCGGACGATTAGGACGATCTTTTCGTCTGTTTGTTGGAGGAGCCACGGCGAGTGGATCTGTAGTACGAAGCGCTCTACGATGCAGTGAGTACACTAAGAAAGATGCTGACTCGACAAATTACCTTATAGCAGCTTTAGCATCTTTCTCTTCCTGAGTTGTCTCCATCTTCTCCTCGTAGAATAGGTAGTCACCACGCATCCGACTTTGCGACCTAGGAGACACAGGTCATGACAGCGTCTACATGTAAAACAATATCGAATACCATCTACGCCCGTCTGTCCAGCGTAGGAGTCCTCCATCGTTCTCAGCCTCCTCCCAGACGAAGACGTTCCCGGAAGAAGATAACTGCTTCTTTCTGAAGCAGTAGTCGCCGCTTGATCAACGGTAACATATTGAGACGCACGGCCTCGAGGACAACGTGCGCATCTTTGGCATCCCGGACATCTTTGTAGTTCGTAAGACACAGAGCCACTAGAGAGGAAAGGACGACTCACGTAATGCAGGAGGGTCGGAGGTCCGTTGTGGACAACAGGTGAATTGGAATAGTAAGCCATTTTAGTGGGATCTGAGATAGTGATCAAAACCCGCCACTCAAATGAGAAGCTTTATAGTCTCAGGCAAGCTTGCCATGGGCACTGAGCGGAAACGGAGATCTCGAACAAACGTGG